TCGTTTCCAATGCCCGTATGCGATCCTCCGCCGAGCCATGACGTTCTTGAGCCTGCAAATGTGTTCAGCCCAAATCGTTTAATAAAGCATATTCAATCGAGTTAAATGGCCATAATAATAGATAGACAAGATAGTTAGTTGTAAATGTTAGTTAATGAAAGCTAAGAGTGAGGAAAGTTTCTGTGAAGGTTTCTTTTGTTCAGTTGTCGGTGCGCTGAGTTCTTGTGCAGGACATTTAAGAGATTGGATTACTTATATAAAGAATCGTGAGTAGAGTTGTTTCTGTTGTTGTTGTTGTTGTTGTTGTTGTTAGTAGTTGGATTTTGGAAAAAAGATACGAGTTTGAAAGAACGTTACACAAATAAGAATCAAAAATTTAATTGTAGAAATTAATTTGAGTTTATACTTATGGAACCTGTCGGCGCGCATATTAGTTCGAGTGCATACCTTATTTCCTACCTTTGTCAATGCCTCCATGCGCGCCTTTAGCTGCTCCTCCATGTCCGGCTGCAGTTTGGCATGTTGTGCTAGCTTTTGTTCAGAGAGTTCGAGTTTCTCTTCAATTGCGCTGATTTTCTCTTCGTGCAGCTGTCGGTGTTGATGGTTTTTTTGTTGTTTTTTTTTTGTATTTTGATTTGGTGAGGGTAGTTCAATTAGTTTGGTTTTTGATATGCAAATGGATAGGGTATATATTATTAATTATTAGTCACAGTTTTAGCTTTTAAACAGGCATGGGCGAAAAACAACTCCACTGTCCATATCAAGTTGTTGCTTGCAAACAAAATGTGGCATCAAAAAGTTAAAATACAAAATCTTGAACAAAAACAAGTAAAAAAGCTAAGCCTCTAGTTTTTATCAAGTCACATTTTAAATGTGTGCTGTTAATAACATTTGGCTGTTATCTTAATTAAATCAGAGTAGTTAACATGATTAATTAACAGAGGCCGAAAGTTCTTTTCATCATGCTAAAGCTTGCATTTCTTGGCCTAATTATTTAATAAAAAAATACAATTCAAAATGATTTTGAAAAGAGTTAAAATAATAATACAGGCAACTACAGCAGAACTCATTAACACTTTCGAATGACACGTGATATGTTATTTTTGCCTAATTAGTTGCTGACTTTAGAACGTTTTCCATAAATTTCCAAACTTGCTAAGAAACACAATAATTAATTGCGGAAATAAGACATTAACAACTTTCATATGAATACATATATATATATATAAAGGGTATTTTGCAGTGCAGTGTTTTGATTAAATTGATGAAATTCGCCCATGCCTAGAAACCATAACCAATTCGATGCACATATTTTGCCTATGCATAGACGCACCTTTAGTTGTGCCTCCTTGTGCCGCAGCTCCTGCTCCAGTTTCTCGTTCAGATCATGCAGCGACGTGGACTCGCGTTGAGCATTCAAATAGCGCTTTTCCAGCGTAGTTATACGCTCCTCCTACAAATGATTTTTATAATTTTTTATATATACTTTAAATATATTAATGTAATGGTTACGCACCTGATCTTCCTTTTGTGCCACATTTTCGCGCAGATCGCGCTGCAGCTTCGAGCACTGATCCTGCGCCTTGCAGTGCTCCTTCTGCACTCGCGACATGTTCTCCTCCAGTTCATTGATCTTGCTGTTCAGATCGGAGACGCGACGCTGCCACTGAGACAATTCCGAGGTCTAAAAGTACGAAAGGGTTTTCGATTTTTAACAATTTGTGCGAATGATAATAAATATTTATATTTTAAAGATATCTATTAAAAAGTATGTCTTAAATTATATTTAATCATTTTTTTGATCAAATTTGCAACAAATTTTGCTTTCATAAAAAATGCGTAAATATAAATATATATAAAAAGAACACTGCAAGTTGTTTGCCTTCGGAGAAGTATCTCCGCCTTGATGTTCAATTAGTCAAAATAAAGAACTATGACAAATTAAATTTACAAACAAAGCTGCAGTAACATTTGATCTCTACCGAAAAAATTGGGAGCTGCCAAATATGGTTAAATGCAAGTTATTTAAGCTTTTGGACTGAGCCTCGTTTAAAAGTTGTAACAGCACAAAATTATGATCGGCTTGTCGCCTTAGTTTCTATGCCTAATTAAGACAAGGTTTATATAATGGCTCATACAACATTTTGTACGAATTTAGAGCGTTTAACAATCTCAACTAATTAGTTATTCGAACAACTAAAAGCCTTATCTTTGGCAAATAGTTGTTTTGTTTTGTCAACAATGAAATTTCGCATGGGAATATCGCGTCGCGTGAGTCATAAATTGCTTTACATGTATTGTCTATACAGGTAGTGGGACTTGTTGGCAATCATGTTGCGATAACCCGGCGATGCCCTCACCTGCTTCTCAATGATCGTTTGTAGCTCGTGTGTTTTGGCCGCATATTCATTTATTTCGCTGGCATCACCATTGACTCCACCGCCGCCACCGCCACCGCCGCTCGCCAGCTGCAACAACAAAAGGTAGATAATGTAAAATACACGCTTGATTGGGTTAACACACACGCACACACACGCGCGCGCACACACACACCTTCTCTTTGATGCCGTTTTCCCCGCTCGCATTGCTGGCCGAGTTGATGCCGCCGGCTGGCAAAGCGCCCGTTTTATATTGGTTTAGCTCCTCTTTGGTTGTGTTCAGCTCTTCCTCCAGCACGTTGTTCTTCTCAATGGACAAACGCAGACGCTCGCGCACCTTCTCGTCGAGTGCTTTGTGATGTTCGAACAGGGATTTGAGCGCTTTGAGCACCTCCACCTCGCTGGAGACGCCGCTTTGGGCAGCCGCCTGCCGCTTAACCACGGTCATGCGCAGGGAACGCTCATGGCGCGACACCAAGCACTCCAAATGCTCCAGCAGTAGCTGTAATAAGAATAGACAACTTTTATAGATTTATCAGATATTGTTGTAGCTTAGCTGACGCTTACCCGCGTATTGTTGCGTTCCGCTTTGAGCTCACCAATTTCCTCGTCCCGTTCCAGCAAGGTTTCGCGCGCTTGCGTCAGCTCCTTGGTGAGCGTGGCGAACTCCTGGCAAGATTAAATAATGATTAGAGCCTTCTAACATTTGGGTGTTTATTAGAACTAACCTGCGGCAGATTGGCATTGATCTGACGCTGGAGGCTGTCGCGCTCCTTCTCGACATCGCGCAGCTTGCCCTCCGTTTCGACCAGTCTCTCCTGTGCCTCGCGCAGGCTGTCCATAAGCTTGTCCCGCTCATCGAGCATCGAGACCATGAGCTGCTCAAAGTTGGCATCCTCGCCGCTGAACTGTGACGAACGCTGCGATATGCTGTCTTCCGATATTGTGGGCATTACGTCGCACATCATGTTCCACATTATTTAGTTGGCCACCAGAGCACGGGCACGCATGCAAGACTGTAAGGAAACCAATTTTAATGAGTATTCCAATATCTCTTCTTTGTTTTTTTTTTTCTTAAGAACCTTCAGCACTCTGACACGAATATAAGGTCTAGTTCAACTCACTTTTGGGTACGTCAACTAACTAAATTTGGTTTATAATACATCAATTTCCGTATATCCACAGCACATTCTTGTTATCTTAACATTTTCTGATTTAAGAACCAACGACTCGGATCTATATTTTGGAGCTAATCTAACTGGATTAATGCATCTAATTCTTGAACAACAAACATTTGTTTCGCATAGTATTCCAATTTGAAAATTATCTAGCATCTTGGTGTATATCATAAAAAAGCGGCATAATTTTACCGTAAAATCATAAATCTGATCGCAATAATTTGAACCGGGATGAACCGGTATTACCGATTTTTGTATTGTTCAATTGTTCTTTGAAGAATATTGTTGAAACAGTTATAAAAGCATGAAATTGAATTTAAAACAACAATAACCGTTAATATATGTGTATTAAATTTGCCTTAAGTCGCTGGTCACACAGCTAAAACGGTTAAAGGCCTACGCATTGCCCACGCTCCGGAGTTATTTATTTTTCTTGTTGATGCTGAGTTTTCCCCTTCTTGAGGCACGCCCGCGTAATGGGTTAATACATTCCAATTGGACCAATACACTGAACATGTCTAATAAGGCTTTTATCATAGGCGCCGCATTGATAACAAGTTTTCTACACCAACACATATACGCACACAAACACACACATATATACACACAAGCACACTTGCACACATACACACCACATGCATGTATATACATACAGGCATGCCAGTACGCACACATATGCACAGCTTTTTCTTTTTTATAACACTTTTTGTAATTTAAATTAATGTTTCTCACATGCATTTAGCACTAATTATGGCAAACACATTCAATTTAAGAGTCGCAGGTTAACAGCTGCCGCACTCGGTGCGTTTTATGACTGGTAAAACGCCTTTTCTTGAGCATAAGAGGACGGCTTTTATGCAAAATGAGCAAAAAACTCCCTTCCTCCCTGGCGCAAACACGTACCCCGTAGCCAACAAGGATCGATCGCCCGGCGACAGCGCAGCAGCAACAACAACAACTTTTGTTGCTGTTTAGCTTTTGCATATAAAGCTATTTAATTGTTGCAATTGTAGCAAGTTTTATTTATTTCCGATTGATTTTTATGTGCGAAAAAACGCAGCTCGTTTCTTTTTTGGTTGCCACTTAGGTAAAAATCTAGTGCTGCCACCTAGATTTAAGATTTTGTATATTTTAGACAATCTGGCTAGGCAGCTGGTTACCGACGATTATACTTATCGATATACGCTGGAGCCCACGGTTTTCTAAACATTTAAAAATGAATAACTTAATTGAATTAATTAGAGTAAGAAATAAAATAAACTCATAGAACTTCATTTATCAAAATTAGCCGTGCTGATGATGCATCGTTGCCGATTCGATGCTATTTCAATTTTACATCACCTATCGAGTACAACATGCGCATATCTTAAGATAACACGATATTGGCAACATTGCGCTGTTATTGTAACATTACTCGCATCTTTTTTTTTTTTAGCAACATCACTCACAGTTTTAGCCGCATTGCCTACAGTTTTTACACAGAGCAAGCGCCTCGTTTGTGTTTTATTTTTTAGTGTTATAATTAATAAAAATAAACAATTAGCATAGTGTTAACGTGTTGCCATACAAAACAATTGAGCGCTGCAGCAAACAAACGCAATGGGGTAAGTACGCAAATTATTCTAATTCGTTTGCAAATGTTACAAATTGTGTGAAAAATCGACGCCGACGTTTTCCTTGCTGCTGATGCTTCCTCTTCTTCTTGTTGTTGTTGTTGCTGTTGCTGCTACTCCTGTTGTTGTTGCTCTTGTTGTTGTTGTTATTATTGTTCTTCTAGGCTGAGGTGCAGCGAACGTCTTCGAAGGTGTAAATTTGTGCCATATATAGCATGTGAATTGATGCTATTCGTAAGTTGTAGGTGTAGGCTGACAAACGCCGCCCGTCGATACCAATTATGCGTGTGTGTGTGTGTGTGTTTGCGTGGGTGTAGGTGTGCATGCGTTTGTATGTGTGTGTGTGTGTGTGTGTGTGTGCAGTAAACTTGAGCAAAATCAAAACGAGGCTACAAAACACTTAAGCGCATAATGCAATTTAGTCGCCAAGGCAGCCCCTACCACCCCCCCCCCCCCCCCCTAACGGAACCACCCCGCAACACTAAGAACAACAATGCCAATGACATGGTGAAGACAATTTCAATAAGAACTACAACAACAACAACAACAACAACGCATGGCAATCTATTTTCACCAAAGCTCTTAAAGCCCCAACAAATTTGTTGTTGCCATGACAGTGCCGCTTTTGTTATACTAAATCTATACATATTTAACCCATACTAACTAAATAATCAGCACGTTATCTAAAACAGACAAATTAACAAATTATGTTATCTATCTACAGTAAAATGAAATGTTTTTCGGCACTCGATTGAGAATTTGAAAAGTACAGTGAACTATGCTCGTATTGCATCTGTTTTATTTTTTGAGCATATTTGGGATATTATTTTTAATTAATTAATTAATAATTTGTTGTTCAGTCATTGCAATTAATTTATATTAATATCAACATTTTTTCGAATATTAAAGACATAATTATAATAGAATATTTTGACAAACATTTTTAGTTAAAAAAAAAAAATACATATTTTTTAAAATATCTAAAAATAATTATGCTTATTATTAATTGTTTTTAGTTATTATTATTTACATATAATTGTTTAATATTTCAAATTGCACAAATAATGCAATCATCGAATAATTATGCCTTTAATAAAATTGAAAAATAATATATAAAAAAACTGCATAATTATGCATAATTTAATTTAAAGATCTTAAAATTATATTCACACGCGAATTACCTAATTTTGACTGATTAAAACTTGAACCTCTTATCGAGCGTGCACTGTAGCCGAATTAGGCAGTTGCGTAGCCTTAACAACTTGGTCACACATATCTATTTACTGTACAACCAACAATCCCTCCACCCTTCTGCTGTCTCTTTGCAAGCGCGCTTGCAAATTAAATATTAAGCCGACGTGCAAGAATTTTAATGGAATTTTTAATTAATCACCTGTGGGTGCTGCTGCCGGTTGCTGCTCCTTTTCCCTGTGTTTATCTCGCACAAACAGCGAACAACCGATTTTCACTTGCCAGGCGCACGTGTTTCATATTGATCCCAAAACGAAACGGACATGGATCACGGCCAGCATGAAGGCGGTAAATGTGAGCTTCTTCTATGATATCTCACGGAATCTATATCGGATCATCAGCGTGGAAGGCACCAAGGCGGTCATCAATTCAACAATAACGCCCAGCATGACGTTCACACAGACATCACAAAAGTTTGGACAATGGAGCGATGTGCGCGCCAATACGGTTTATGGACTTGGTTTCTCCTCCGAGGCGGAGCTGACAAAGGTGTGTGTGTGTGTGCCTATATGGAGTCTTGTTATGTTTATTAAATACTTTTTCTATTCCTAGTTTGTGGAAAAATTCCAGGAGGTCAAGGAAGCCACCAAAAATGCCATGAAATCTGCGAATGGCTCCAATGCGGTTACGCCCACCACCTCGGCGAATACATCGCCAATTTCAGGACGTGCTGTGGGCGCCATTCAAAATGATAACACCAACATCGATCCACATACCGTGGAACCGCCGAATTTAAGTAATACCAATACACAGAATGCCAATCCCGATAGCCCCTCGCATAAGCTGTTAAACACTAGCGATGGCAAGCAGGATATTGGCTCGGCCACGCCTTCGCCGCAGCCAACGCTTGGCATGGGCGCTGCCACAGTTACCGCTGGCGGTGGTGGTAGTGGTGGCGGCGGCGGCGGCGGCGGTGGCATTACAATCTCTTCTGGTGGCAGCATTGTGGGCATGCATACTGGACCCGGTGCGGGCGCCACGGCTGAGCAACAGCTCAAATATGAAAACGAGCGTCTGAAAATGGCACTGGCGCAAAGGTAGGCCAATATGATGATGTTTCTTGCTTTCAATATGATTTTAACACTCGTGTGTTGACAGCTGCGCCAATGCCAAGAAGTGGGAAATTGAGTTGGCCACCTTGAAGAACAATAACATACGCCTGACCAGCGCTTTGCAGGTGCGTTTCATTTCCAATTCGTTACTGCTTTAAGCTAACGTGTACTCCCACAGGAATCGACGGCTAATGTGGACGAATGGAAGCGCCAGCTGCACACCTACAAGGAGGAGAACATACGCCTCAAGCGTGAAATGGAACTGATGCGCGTGAGCGGCGGCGTTGGTGGTGGCGGTTCTGCAGCTGGCGGCGCCACAGAGGATGAATTGCGTCGCGAGGTGGCTGCGCTCAAGGCGCGCACAGAGACGCTGCAGGCGGAACTGCTGCAGCATGAAATAGAGCTTAAAACGGCCAACATGAATTTACGCGAAAAGTGCAACGATCAAACCGTAAATTATTCATATATATACCCAATTTAGCCAAGTTCATAAACTCATAATGTAAACATTTGCAGCTGGCCAAGTTGAGTGAACTGAATGTGCTGTTCGCCAAGAGTCTGTCGGAGTTATATGCGGTGCAAAAGGATATGGAGAATGTTATACATCCCGCCAAGTGCACTTGAGACGCCGAGTTGGGTGCACACAGAAAGGTTGCGAGTTAAACTTTTAATTGTCAAGCCACACACGTATAATTCAATTGGTTTTTTATTTAGGTTTCAGCGCAGGAACAGACTACAATGGCAACCACTAAAACAACGACAACATCGACAACAACAACAACAACTAGCAAACGTTATTTAAGCAATTTTCTAACGGCTGAGGCGGAGAGCACACTCTCCAATGTCACATCCATACACACACAGCTGCAATCGTCGCTCTACGAGACACAGAACACGGCACAGCTGAAGGCGTTGGATAAACACTCAGCGCTATTGCAGGAGCTGCATCAGCGACAGCTGCAGACTGCAAACAGCTCTGCTCTCACTGATGCAGCTGCCTCCAGTGGCGCTGCTGCTGGCACCAAAACTGCCACCATACTCGTTTCCAAATCGAAAACCAAAACTGGGCTGCCCCTGTTGCTGAAAAATTCCATTAACAATTAGGGAAACAAAAAAGGAAACCAATAATTAGACGACTCTTTGCATTTTTTTGTAATCTTTCTATTTGGTAGTTTGTATACAAAAACAAAACGGCAACAACAGTAACTCACGCCCCCCATACACTGACAAACACACACACACACTCATTGTAGGTTTATATGTATATGTATTTAGTGTATTTTTCGGTATACCCATTAAGTCCAAAAAGTCCAGTATTTGTTTCATTTCAAAATTGTACGCATTTGTCTGTGTCGTGGTAGCAATTAAGTCGAAAGCAAGTTTTAAATTCTCGTACGCATTCAAGTGCAATATATATATATATATATAAAATACACAACAAAATAATTGATATTATGTGCTCTATATTTTGTAATTCTTTCTGCTAATTGTTAATTAATTTTTAATGAGAGCTTGACAATGAATCGAAATCCTCTGACGAACGAAATACAAATATTTATTTTATGAAAATGTGCTCGAAAGCATTCAAGTATTTTCAAAACTAAAACCCTAGGCATTTCTTCAACTTTCGTATAAACTATTTATATATTTATGTATTTCCTATTCATTTGTATACACAAAACACAACTTTATTTGTTTTTATAGCTGCAAAGATAATTAGCAAATTTGTGTACCAACCCCCAATCCGATGCATTACAATTTATTTATTGCAATTAAGCATTAACTAACAATGACTTAGACGACGAAGCATACTAAAAATCACATAAAGAATAATAATTTTATAAATGAAAATTAAGAAAATACGAAACTAGCAAAGTAAATTAAACGAATACCAAGTCAAGTATGTACATCTATGTGCATCAGTGGAAAACTAGTTTAATATATTAACAAATTATATATATATATATATAAATACATATATATTGTATATGTATCTAATGAACAACAGCAAACAATATCAATATGCAATCTCCCCTCCTTCACAACCGCAAACACACACACTCTCAAACAGATACACATACATAGACACACACACACGTTGTCGCCACCCACAGGCGAAACGGTAATGGGAAAAAACGCTTAAACGGTTATCTTGAAGCCATATTGTTATGCAATTTGACCGGTTCGTTTTTTGCATGAATTACCCAGTTTAAAAAAGTAAATAAAATCAAAGAATAAACGAAGCAAAATGTTGAACATACAAAATTTAGCAGTTAAAAGCAACACACAAGCATATGAAATAAATAAAAATAAAATTCGATATGATTCAAAATAAAAACGAAGACAGAATTCTTTTGGGAATACATAAACATAAATATATGTTTAGAATTGAATTGTTTAATGTAAGAGATGCAAATCTAAGTAAAGCTAAATTAATAATTTTCTCTTTGTTATTTTTCAGCTCTTTTGGATTGATGTTTTCTGTTCTCTGCGTAAGTACACTGGGTCGAATATGTATCTATATATTAATATAATCTATACCGATTGCAGTTATGTCCAGAGGCATGTGGAGGTTCTCAAAATACAGCTGCCAAAAAAGAGCAAGCCGAAAAAACAATTCAAAATCTCGCGAAATGAAACACAAACTGACACTTTCTTTAAAAAGATTTTTAATTAAGAATTTGTTACGCTATAAATTTGTTATTTGCCTTCAACAACGCTTAACAACGGGCAACAATCTGTAATATGCATATTCGTGTGTAATTCAAACAAATAAGGATCTAAAGAGTTCCGCCTTGGAGTCGTCCGTCCAGTCGCTGGCCTCGTTGGGTGCCATAAAATTGATCAGCTTATTGTGCACCACATAGCTGCAAGTAGAGGAATTTGGGTAAGTTGAATCCTTTTATATAGTTTTATTTGACTTTGAGAGGCTTACCGTAATTTTCTGCCCTTGCTGGCCCTGGTGTCCACTTTCCGCTTCATTTTCTGGCGCAGCTTCTGCAGCTCCACAAACTGTTTGGCTATGTCGCTCATGCTGGACGTGCTGCTGGCCTTGTACTCGATGAGCTCGCGCAGCTGCTGATGATAGAAATCGCTGTCATCGTAGACGTGTCGCTGCCTTTGGCCATTGGCAGTTGGTTCAGCATCCTCTCCGGCATTCGGCTGCGGCTGCTGTTGATTGTTTTTAAGTATTTGGGATTTCTCGACGAGCGCCTCTCGATTGGCCAGCGCACTGTCAATTTTCTTGACGATATCGTAATCCTCCTGCAGGGTCTTGCGTTTAAGGCCCGCGCCGGGTGTCAACAGCTTGGTGCGATCATCCCACTTGAGCAGCACCTCGTTGCGATAGCTGCGCATATTTTCGAAATTATTGTGCAGCGCATTCGCATAACGTTTGCTGCTGGCGGTTGGCTCCGTGCTCGCCTCTGCCGGCTGCTTGCGTTTGACGGACTGACGCAGCTCGTTGTGCTGCTCTGTGAGCGCCGCTTGCAGCGCGAGCAGCTGCTCCAGCAGCTTGGCGCTGCGCTCCTGGGCTTCGTTTAGCACCAATTTCAGTTCCTCATTGTTTTCACTTAGCGCTTTTAGTGTCTCCGGCGACGGCAGCTGATTCGCCTTGCTGGTCACTTTCTGTGTATTGATGCGCAGCTCCAGCAGGCGCTCCCAGATCCTCAGTTGATTTTGCACGCAGAGTCCTTTCTGTACCTCGGCTTGTTGATTGGTTTTGGGCATGATTTCGTTGACATCCTCGTCAGAGTCAACATTTTCTGACTCGTTCTCATCGTCATCGTCGTCGTCGTCGTCGTCATCCTCCTCTTCGTCGTCCTCCTCCTGCTGTCCTTCATTCTCATAATCTTCCATGCTGCTGTCATCATCTTCATCGCTATGTTTACCATTCGTAGCCTGCAAAGTCGATGTTGCCTCCTCCTCGCTGTCGCTCTCTTCGTACGCCAGCTCTGCGCCCTCCTCATCTTCACTCTCCTCCTGCTCCTCCTCCTCCTCCTCCTGTTCAAACTCTTTGCGACTGCTTATCCTACCCTTGTACCGTTCGCTCTGTTCGGACAGCAATTTTACATTGCGCTTGCGAAAATCTGTGCTCCGCGCGTCCGGCAGATCGTATTCATCCTCAAAGTCCACAACGCGCGCTTTGGTGGTCGCATCAATATCGGAATCATTGTCGCTGCCGCTATCGTTGGGATGTGCGAGCAGTTTGCTCACCTTCTCAGCCACAGTCTGTGCCTGTTTTTTCGACTTGCGCAGCATTCTTTTATTCAGTCTTTCATCTAGTTTTTTATAAAAACAATAAAATCTGTGAACACAGCCGCAACACGTGAAACTATTGTTGATTGCTGAACTGATTCCAGACTGCGTGCAAACGAACTAGTTCAAATTACGCTCATCGATATCCAAGAAACGATATCGATAAATGTGTGCATCAGCGTGCCGCCAACTAATTAAACAATACAAATTATTTAATAATATGTTTACTTTTTTAATGCATTTGCAAAACACAATGTAGAATTCTTGCTTAGATATTTTTTTTTTTAGAATTAATAATGTATTTTACGTCCTGGGTGTTTTTTAATAGTGATTTACGACTGTGTTCCCTTTTAATATTCATATATATTTATTTTTGACTGTTTTCAATTTTTAAATTTAATTTTAAACGCAATGATGAAACGCATTTAAATGGGAGCCCAGGTCCAATGTTATTTCTGTTGTGATGATATTCAGGCAATATTTAAAAGGCAGTCAGATTGAAGAGTAGCAAAAAAAATTTAGCAAAAAGTAAAGTAAAACAATTGTTTTATGATAGTTAACTTGAAAGAACAAAGAAATTTAACAACAATTTGGTTACATTATTTGTTATAAAAATGAAAGCTAAATGAATTTCAAGTTTAAAAAAGTATTGCATACTTTTAAGCGAAATATTTTTATATATGAGGATTGTTTTATTTACGACTAAACCACATTCTAAAGGATTAGTTACAGCTCAGTTATTGAAAGAAAAATGTTGTTTAAGCAAGTTGTTTAAGATTAAATAACAAGTCCACATCATTAACAAAGCCATGTAAATAATGCCCTCAACTTTGTTATGCTCATAAATGGATTTGATTGTCGATTGCATGCACTTGCGTGCATTAAGTATGAAATCCAGGCTTGCGGCACGCTCCCTCATTAGAATCAAACAAAACGGCGACTTATCAGCACAGGTGCATCTTGATAACGAGTCGTGCATATGGGGTATATAGGTAGACCAGTAGCAGCAGCTGCACACACTCTCTCGTTTATTTGTAGCATACAATAGAGGGCCGTGAACTGTCAGGAATATGGACATGAACTTGAAATCCTTTATTGTTTGGCAGCAATTTGTGCTCATTATATTAATGAAATGTTGACAAATTGCGACTCGGCAAAATGGGCAAAATGGTTAACCTTGAAAATTGCAGAATTGCGATACAAAACAGACGCCAATGGGCGTTCATAGTTGACACAAGTGTTGCCGGAAAAGGATAATTTACGCAGTATTTGTTGAGTTTCATTTTTTTTTTTTATAACTAACAAATCAAATTTTGATTTATTCGCTTCAAGTTGTTGGAAAAGTCAAGACGTGCCGCCACCAGACATAGCCAGAGCGCAGATAACGCCACAAGCTGCTGTTGCTTCTTCTTGTTAATATTATTAATTTTATTTTTTTCATTTTTTTTTTCACGGCTGGCATTTACGGTACCTCATTGATAAGCGCAGCGTTTCGGGAGTCAGACGAATAGACAGACTTGCTTTGAACTTTGAATAACACACACACAGACACACGCACACTGACACACGCACACACGCACACACACATTGATAAATGTGAAATTTTATGCGGGCGGGCTCTACGAACACATGTGCCAAATTTGGGGTCGTTCGCTGTTATCAATGCCCGGCCGGCCGGACAGCGTTGCCAACTATACACATATATATATATATATATATATGTGTGCCAGCTGTGTCGCATACAGTTTTTTTTTACATACATATAAGATTATCAGTTGTTGTCGAGATTTCGATTTCACGGCGGCAGCATCAGCTGCCCCAGCAGCCGCCCAGCCATTTCAGTCAGTTCCTGTACGCCGCACGGTGCAAATACGAATCCGAGTACAGGCTAATTACAGCGCCGGGAATCAGATGAAATATCGATAACATCACGCCTGTACGTGTGGGTGTGTCTGTGTGTGTGTGTGCGTTTGGCTGGTTAGCTGCCAGTGTTGTTAAACTACCGATCGATCGCGTTCTGTTGGTGTTAGTGCGTGAGGTGTGCAAATAATCAGATCTTGCACACACACTCACACACTTATACGCACATGCATATTTGTTTATATAGACACATGCACGATATACATATATATATATATATATATATATATATATTCTTGTACACGGTGCGCGCGCGTGTTTAGAAAACGCAAAACAAAACGGAAATAAAAAAAAAAACCTAAGCAGTCGAATAAATAGCGTTAGACGTAATCAATGATTAAATAGGTGAATTGTTTGCTTGTTTAGCTAACAGGCCAATAACGGCCACACAACAGTGTTGAATAACAGTTTTAGCAATAGAGAGAAAAAAACCGTATTTGTAATTACCAAGAAAACTTCAATTATATATTTGCTTGAATGCGAATGGAATTTATAGCTAGATTCAACACAGCACAAGATATTTTTTTTTTAATTAGTTTAACCATCCGGTTCATGATTCTTTTTTAATTGCACGATTTGGAGCGTCGAGCCCCCTGAATGTCTACCTATTATTTATCTCTGCCTTAAAAAAACAAAAAAAGAAAATAACAAAACAGAAACTAAAAGTTCAAAAGCCAACGAAACATCGAGCGATTAAATAAATAAACAATTAATTTGTATACTACAACAAGTTTTTGATGAGAGCATGCTCAAGGATTAATGCACCGAGACGCATTATCTATAATCGTTTTACTGTTGTTGTCCCCTCGTTTGAGTGAGTGTCTGCCCCATTGAGCGCGTTTGATTAAAAGATTATTAAGCCGCACGGTTACCGAGAATCGGCCTGAGAGAGAGAGAGAGAGAGAAAGAGAGAGAGAGAGAGAGATAGCGAGAGGATTATTCATTATGAAAGAGCTGCACGCAGCATGAGTGGAATATTTATTATCACATCACAAAAATATTCCAACAATATTATTATTTTAAGAGAGTAAAAATTAGTTCAAGGTCAACATATTAAATGCAAACCAAAATCAAATCAAACAATAATAAAAATGTTCCTCTAAACGTATTTAAAAAAATATAATGAAAACAAAAACAAATAACAAAAAATATACCAAACACAGCGGGCAAACGAGTGAGATTAATTAATTGTATCGAGCTGAGCTGAGCTGAACCGAGCTGAGCGTTTGTCCAGGGCTTCCCAGGAGCTGCCTGCCTGCCATAGGGCGCAATAAGGCACAGTCGTACGGGCATCTTTTGAGTTTGTTTCAGTTTCTGTTTTTGTGATTATCACGCAAGGCTGGCGTTCGAGCGTGATGAAAAACACAGCTAATTTGCTGGAACGCAAAATAATAATAACAAATAAACAAAACGATAATACAAATATTATACTTATATGTGCATTGCCCATTAAACAATCGCGTTCAATCAAGTGTAAGAGTTTTTCATTAAGCCGTCCTTAATGACAGGCCCTCCAGCAAAATACGCTGTTCAAATAATGCCAAAAAAAAAAAAAAAAACAACGTCATTTGTTTTTACACTTGGCATTTACACTAATTAACAAGTGTGCTGTAGTTGGGAATGCCCCACTAAGAGATACCCTTAACCCAGCGACGAGTTGCCATTACGAATGTAGTTTCCTTCATACATTATATACCACCTGTACACAGGTGTATGCTATACCTCTCCTTCCGAATAACTTCGGTGCTTGTTGTCCGATCTTAATGAAGTTTTAAGTGCATAAATATGACATTCATATGTGTGTGCATACTGAAGCCCTGGACTATGCCTCCATAGGTGCTTGTTCTTTTAGAGAACCTTTTATTCAACGGATGCAGGTATCCAAAAATAAACTATTTTGGATCTGTACAAACTGTAAAACATCTATATATCAAAGCTGGTGTCTCCAGTTCTCAAAAAAAGACCTGACTTCGACGCTTCGCTTAAGGATTCAAGTCTCGATGCTTTCATACACACAGACAGATTAAGAATCGAATCAAGAATATATATATAGCTGATAGATGTCTTCTTCTGTGTGTCACAAATTTCCTGAGTAAATTAATATACCCTCTAGAAGGGTATATAATGAGAGTGCAAACAATTCACAAGGTACAATCTTAATTCGCGATGCTAAACATTTATTATGGACGTTCAGACATTAAAATTTGTTATTAATTATTTCCGTTTATGTTTTGCGCTTGGATACTGAAAAGAAACAGCCAAATATTTTTGTATTAAAACCGATTCTGGGCAGGCAGCAAAATAAAAAAACAATTTACTGAGCTTTTTTTTTAATAATAATTTATTTAATTGCTAACCAATCAATCGATTTAATAGGGTATCGCATAAAGTGAAATATCTCTGAAATCTGTTGATTTGGAATTATCACGTGCGCCTGCTCTCTTGGGAAAGATACGCAAGCAAATAGAGAATCGAGCTGGGAAAATGGCCCAGTCGGGGGAAGTGAATGAAGTTGTTTATGATCATCGTATATTGCGTGATTGGTCAAATGTGAATAATACGAATGGTACAATGCATTTGTCCAAGGATATGATATTCAATGATGGCCATCGTCTGTCCATCACGGTCTACAGGTGAGTGCGACTAACACATGCACACGCACATATATGTATGTATGTGTATGCGTGCTTGTGTATGGGAAAAGCGCAGCTATTTCCTCCTACACTCACCCACACCATGTCAGATCACCCACACATTTCCCCAGCTAGCTTGGTTGCACTTTGCTATTCACATTCACATTCACAGTCACAGTTACGTTCACATTCACAGTCACGCTGATAAGCAGCGACTTTTCTAAACTTATCAGTCGCTGTGTAGGTGTGAATGTGGTTATAAATAAGTATAAATCATGTCGTGCTCATGTCTATCTGTCTGAGATGTGTTTTTTTTTTTTCATTTTTTTAATTATTTTCACTTGGAATTTGAACGCTGTGGTTCAGCGTAGGGTTCACTTTAATAGAGTGATTCGAAATTTACAGAGATCTTTTCAGCTGATTGACGGGCACGAAACTGACTAAGAAGCCCGTAGAAAGTGCTCTGTAGTTGTCAGAAATTTATTTTATTTTATTTTTTATAAATAAAATGTTTTTTAGTTGTTCAAATATGTGTTTATCGTTGCGGGTGT